GCCTCCCGAAAGACCCCTGGGTCCGGCCGCCCTTTCGCGTCTCTCTGCTCGGTGCTCGGCGGCTGAGCCTCGCCTCAGGGAGTCTGTCTTCCCCCTCCGAAAGCCCACAGCTCCCCGCTGCTGAGCTTGCCCCTTGGTAGTGCGGGGGACGTTAAAGGATGGTGTTGGTGAGCCGTTTCCCTTCAGGCGTAGTTTTTGGGAAAGGTTTGTGTGGAAAGGCTGGTGTGTAGGTAAATGGCAATGAAGCATCGGTCCCTGTGTGATACTGAAAAACAGTTACTAGTTCAATTGATTTTGTACATTAGTAATGCATGTGATCTGAACACTGATGCTTCAGGGAGTTTGATGCAATGCTCATGATAGGAGACTAAAAAATACAATTGTAGGGTATTTCATTTTTCACTTGACATCGAATTTAACACAAGGAATTACATGCAGTGTTGTGTGAGAGCTTAAGGTCTGGCCGTTTTTGAAGACTTCCCAGAACTTGAGCCCTATGGTAATATGTTTTAAAATACCTAAAACTTGTTTCTGCATTATGGATTTTCTGAAAGCCTGCACTTTCATAGTTACTTGCTTTAACGTGCTTCCTTTTTGTTTACTTTAGTGGTAGAATAAGAGCTTTGGAGAGGAATAAGCTCACAAAGAAGACTTTAGAACTGGCACAGCAGTACTTCTTGCCCCCGTACGCTTTCCAGATTCGAGTTGGTGCTCTGTACCTTTTGTACGGGCTCTATAGTACACAACTTTGCCAGCCAAAACAAAAGGTAATTGTTCTTGAGGTTTTATTCTCAGGAGATACTAGATGTAAGGTATATGGTATAACTCTGTCTACTTTGTCATCATAAATGGGTAGGGCATTTTCACTTTCTTAAAATAAAAATATTTAGAACCAGATGGTCCCTTTGGAAAAGCTAGCTTTTCCAACACCTTTGGGTTTGGGAACTTACATGGTGGTGACTAAAATATTGTGTATGCCTCCTAAATTGTAGCTGTGATCTCAGAAATTTTGTTTACCAGATAGGAAGCTCTTCTCTGTTCAAAAATGAAGACGACGAGCTTTCAAAACAGGAACAGAGAATGTGCTCATCAGCTCTGTGCAGAACTCCATTACAGCCCCAGTTATTCCTTAGAATTTCAACAGAATGACGACTGGCTGAATTATTTCCAGTTCCTGTTAACCAGAAGTGGAAGTGGAATTTATAAACAGGTTGAAAGGGTGAATGCCTGAATGACATGTCTCCTTGCTGCTTCTAGGACAGGAGACCAATATATAAAGGAGTTGGAAACTCAGTGCAAGCAGAAGTGGTTTACCTGGAAACTGTGTGCATATGCACAATTGAGTCCAAATTCTTTAAATAAGAAAACTGAAGTTTAAGTATTCTACAATGATGCCATTACATCTCATATCTTAACTTCATAGAAGTCAGTACCTTTCACGGAGGTGAATTTAGGGAACTTTAAAACCACTGTTATATAGCAACTGTTATAGAGTCCAGGAATTATCAAAGAAGCTAGCTTAGGTAGAGAGAAAATGAAGTGAGAAGAGTACATGGGAGAGGAAGGAAAGCAAGAAGATAGGGATACTTTTATGAGCATTTCACTGGCAGCAGATCATGGTCCGAGTATTACTTCCTAATCAGCTAGTGAGTGAGAGTCTCCTAGGTGTGTATTGTTTCAGGCATCTCGGAATGTGATGAGTTAACTTTTTCAAATGTGAGAGAGAGCTTGTGTTCCATGTCGGTGTCAAAGAAAGCAACTGCAGTGAGAATATTATAACACAACACTATAATAAGCTTATCTGCATAAAATTTTGATAGTAGTAACAGATGTTACAGTGGGATCCTTTCTGTAGTTCTGTGATCATGTGACATGTTACACCCTAGACATCCAAGTATTGTGCATAGTATAACATGATCACAGTAGTCAGCTGACTGCTGATTCATTTTTATTTATTGAAATATGCAGGTCCGTATGACAGTATACAACTGTTTTGTTGCAGATCAGAATTGCACTCAAGGATTGGCCTGAAATCCAGAGATTTCAACAGGATCTGATAGATTCCCAGCATTATGATGCAGCATACATCTTTAGGACACTGCGACTTGCCAGGGCATTCCATTTCACAGCAATGCCAAAGCTAGTGAGTTATTACATTAATGACTTACCATTTTTAATAAAGTATCTTCAGCTTTCAATGGCTGACAGTTGAGCAGCACTCGTGTTTAGTTTAGCTTTGATGCTGTGTTGAAATGTAATATGTCTTGCTTTATGTAGCTAGGTGTGTGACATAAAGCTTAGAGGATGTTTGAATGTAGCATGCTTCTCACCTGAAAATATTTTTTTCAGTATCTAATGTTCCTGTTAGATTTGAGATGTCTTATAATTTGTGGAAATGTCAAACTCTTGAGTCTGGGTGCTGGATTAAATTCTTGACTAGGGAATAATTTTTGAAAAGTGCTGACTGAGCACTTGTCAGTAAAGCTTCATGCTATTGTTGATGAGATCGTTTTATGCCTTTCAGCATGTCTTGATGGTTGGATATGCAGTAAGAATTTTCAAAAGGAGGTGCCATTTTAAGTTTGCTGTTTAAGTTACAAAGCATTGTCTCTTGTTTTAGCTAAACTACAGAACTAAGAAGAAGATTCAGGAAAACGAATTTAAAGAGGAATTTAAGGACCCAAGTAACAGAGTAAACACCCTCATCACTAATGATGTATTGGAGGTACCGGAGCTTTTAAACTACAGATTAATCACTAGGGGTTTTCTTTGTTCTGTTTTGTTCTTCTTCTTCTGTTTTCCAAGAATTGTAACTTCTCTAATTAGCACAGTCTTGTCCTTTATAAGTCTTCTTGTGGAATGCAGACTAGGGTAATAGTCTGTGCCAGTAATTTTACCGAACATTCAGAAACAGTATTTCTTTAAGAAGAATTGTGGTACCTTTTTCAGTACTGAAATATGCTCTAATGTTTTGTGGTTTTGTCTCAGTAAGATGTAAAAGGGGGAGGGTATAAATGGTCAGCTGTCACTTAGGCAGAGAAAAATGGAAAATGGCGGGTGGGGGAAGCATGTTTGTTTTGATACGCCTGCAGGTTGCAGCTGGAGGCTTGATACTTGCAGTGATATAAATTTACTCATCTGCAAGTTTATAGCTTTCTCTAACCTTTATTTCTCCTTTTGAAACTTGGTTTGGTTTAATATGTAATATGTTTTATAAAAAATGGAGTAGTTCAAGCCAAGTATAGGTTTTTCTATTGCTCATTATCATTCAGTAGTAGATCTTCGTTGACAGGTTTTTCCAGTTGCTGCTGGCAAATATGTATCATCGGTAAGGTTGACTACAGTGGTACAAAATCAATAATCTGTGAAATGACAGGGTGAAAAGACCTTCCTCAAAAGGGGCAATTAAAATGCTTCCTCCAAAGAGATGAAAATAGACCACCATATTGGAATGAAACCTCTGTGAACACTGATCCTGAGTATCACTGAGAATTCCTTCTTAGTTTAAATAATGAAAGATACTCTTTCTTCTTTTGCTTATTTGATGGACTGATGGGACAGTGCTAGGTAGCAGTATTGCTAGACTCCCTGAAACTGAACTGATACAAACAGAATCTGTTTCTAACACTCCTGCTAGTTCTCCTTAGAATGGTTTGTATAACCTTGGTTTTGTTCATTCAGGACTAATACTGCTTTACTGCTGGAATCTTTTTTTTTCCTGAAAAAGAGTCTCTCTTTATTTTAGGAACTGATGAATATTCATGACCATTATCAGAAAATGAAGTGTGTCATTTCAGCTGACAAATCTCAGCCAGACAAGGCCCTGAGCTTGATAAAAGATGAATTTGTAGTTACTCTTAAAGACATAACCTTGGAACATCAGGAATGGCAGCAGAACAGAATGGTAGGTAATATCAATCATTGTGCTGTGGCAACTTAACAGATTGTGTGAATAGGTGAGAACTGACTGTCTTAATGTAATTACCTCTGTGCCTACTTCGTAAATCTCAGACTTAAGTAGAAGGAACTGTAACGCTGAAGACATGGAATGAGTAAAACCCTAGGCAGAGTTAAGGTATGGGGAGAAGGACACAGACTTGTGTGTGGTACTGCCTCTATGATAGCATAAGTGATTGCTGAGAGGTAGGCCCTGGAAGATGTGACTTGTGGGCAGTATTACAATGACCATATGGAATACCTCTGTAACACTTATTCTTGGATCAAGGAAAGGCCATAGTGTAAGATCGATGAAGAAAATGGCATATGTGTAAATATTTGTTTTGTTTTTCACAATTACTGGATTTTAGCTGCCTTGTATATGACAGGTGTTTTAAAAAATTATTTTGTGATTTTCCTCCCCTCCCCCCAGAAGTTATTCCTAAATGCTAAAGAAACTGATGAAATATCAAACAAAAAGGAAGAAGGGACTTTGCTAGAATCAGAGGTAAGAAAAATGAACTAGTTTGCTACGTTGCACAGGCCAAATCCATTAGTTTCTTTACTTCAGATCACAGGCTAAGCAGCTTATGTCAAGGCTTGATAGTGTCAAAGTAAGTTCCAGGAATAGCTAGTAGGACTGGTTGGGTTGGGTTTTTTTGTTGTTGTTTTGTTTGGTTTTGTTTTTAAATCGCATTGTTTTCTGTTGAAATCTGTGAGCATTCACTGCTGTGACAGCTCTTGGATGCTCGTAATAAAAAGTCTCTTTCAGGTAAGGAGCAGAAAGAGCTGTATTTTCTTGGCCAAGCTCCTTTATGGTTCTTCCTGGAGTTTTAACTAAATGCAATATCCATTTTTTTAATGCTACAAAATTATCTCATGTTATACTTATCTGCTTATTTCAACGTTGAATTTGAGTAAGATGTGAAGTTTCAAATTTGATTTTCTCCTCCTGGGCTTTGTAACAGTGAAGGCAACCAAAATTATGGTCTGCCTTTTTAATGAAATTTGAACTTTTTTTTATTCTTTAAATAACAGTTCAGCGGCATTCTAATTATGTAGGACTAATTATAATTATAGAATTACAGCTGTAGTGAGATATTGCTCAAGTGATTGTCTGATGTATTTCATTTCAATACTGCTGTAATAGAATATGAAAACTTTTTCTGACTGTTCTCTTTTTTTCCTTGCAGGGTTCTGAAAGAGCAAATGCATTGGCTAGAATCAAATACAGGTCTTACTCTGCAGTTGTTGAGGTAGGTATAAAGTTTGATGATAGGGATGTATTTATTTTTAAAGAACAGTTTTAAGTACCAGTTTAACGTAAATGCCGGGTCAGAAAGGAATGAGTTAAAACTGCACTCTGTAATTCAACCTTTGAATGTTCTGATTTTCCTAACACATTGGGGAAACCCGAAGCTCTTATTATGCTCGTTAGATTTATGGAAACAGTGCAGATATGGTCTATGCTTGGGGGATTTCAATTTGCAAGGTATCTTTTAATGTCTACGCTCCGTTTAAGTAGATGGAATTTTAAGTAGATGGAATAAAAATATTTGTGAGTTTAATTGCTCAAATTCCTTGAAGCTTAGATATTGGAATCTCTGAAGATGCTTGCGAAAATGGAACTTGGGGGTTTAAAGTCAGTTGGAAGTTCTTGGAAACATCGTTTCAATAACTGCTACTTTAAAAATATTGTTAATTTGTCTTTTTTATAGTAGGCCTATGAGAAACATCACAACTTCCCTTGTTTATTGAAATCTCTTATTGAAAAATGCATTATTAAATGGAACAGAGCTCTGGAATATACAATAGTCCAGGCTTGTGAATACGCAGTGATACTGTTTTCTGGGCACCTAAGCAAAATATGACAGTAAGGAGGCTTTATGGTGCAGCAGTTTTTGGAAGCGTTCATTTTGCTCGCACACAGCGGTGTGCAACATGGTGTAGGTTGATGCCAAGAGAGAATGGTTTGAAAATAAATGAATGTTTCATTACCTGAATTTTAAGTGCTATACCCATTAAATCATAGAAGGGCATTGTCCTGTTAAAACCGAAGAACGGTAACTAGTGGGAATCCTCCCTCCCTCCCTCCCTCCCCTTCCATCCCTTCTCCACCCTGACATGGAAGTTGATGCTTTGGTCCTTGCTGACTTGTGAAGTACTGGGTGACATATCTGGTTGTAGAAGTTTAGCTTTTTTGTGTCATTCATATGTACGTTTGGGTTCTAGGCTTCCAAATCCAGAAGACATCGTCAAGTAAAATTAGAATCTTCTGAATCAGGATCGAATTACGGGAAATCTCCAAACCGAAGTAAAAAAACTAGTAGGAGACCACAGCCAGCAAGGAGGAGAGACTCTTTGGAAATCAAAGGTATTTCTCTGTTGCATTCGTGAACCTAGAGAGACTGCAAAAGTTTATCCATTGTTTTGCCATTTGAGGCAGCTGGGTTAAATTTTATTGTTGATCAGTGGAGGTAGAAGATTAAAGAAATGTTTCGTGATACCCCTATGGTAATTGAACATTTCTGTCTGTTTTCCACACTCTGGTCAGATAGCAAGACAACGTGAGCGCATGCAATTTATTGTTTGATCTGAAGTCTCATACATAGTCCTGCTAATTTTTCTCTGGAAAGGCATGACCTTTGAAAAGCATGTCCTGTGTGGCAATGTCTTAATTTTTCCTATTGCCATATAACAAACATACTGGAGATTAAGATATGTGTCTAACTGTTTCTTCTTCTGACAGATAGCTTCTACTTTTGAAGCTATCTTTTTGATGAAGATCAGCCTATCTGATAATTTTGATAGTTCACACTATCTTCATGAAATCCAAAGTAAACCTGGCCTGTTTCTATTCTGTTCCTGAGCTCTTAAAGGAATGTTCTCTAATATTTCTGAAGAGAAAATGATACTGATGTCTTAATGATGATGATTGTTTTGTAAGACTAGTACCTGCACTATCACATGAGTCGTTCTCCTTCCAGCTGATACTTGTTATTTATTTTGTTCTTTTTTTACTGAAATTTTTAGTACTTCCATGTGACTACAAATCTTTTGTCAACAACTGATGTAGTTTCAAAGCTCTTGTCAAATTGTTTCCTTAATCTCAGTATTGCAATTATTACATTATAACAGTTCTAGATTTGTTTAGTTTATAGCTAGACTTAACTTTTCCCTTCTTGACAGGAGGGTTTTTTATACACCTGTGACTTGTTTCTTGTGGTTCTTTTCTGTAATTCTATTTTATTTCTCCTGAGCATTATAATTTTAGCTAGGAATAAAAACACTTTTAAGGAGCAAACTTTTTTAAAACAGGTACAGAGTACTTTTGTCCAGTCTTTGGGACCTTTTTTCTTACTTTGAAATGCACCCTGGAAGGAAATACTTCTAACTGCTTGTACTTGATATCATTCTGATTTATCTATACTGATATAAGAAGCATTGGGATGTCCCTTATATAATGATATAAGAAGTGAAGGCCCTTGCTTAATGCAGTCAGAAAAATACTTAACAAGAAATATTATGGAATATTAAATCTTCCCTTGAAGATTCTATCCTCCCAGTGGAGAGGATAGAATTTTGTGGGTGACAAGAATGGCTGTCTACAGAATGAAAATGCCTATAGAGAGAATAAGTACAAACAGAGAATGTAATGGAGTAAGTGAGGATATGGTGAACATTTTTAAAAGTAAGAAAATTGGACTGGGAACACCTTTCTGCCTCAGACCAGAAGTTTTTTCAAAAAAATTGACTTACTTGATCCAAAACTGCTCAGTTAATATCTTTTTCATTTCTTTTATTTATGAAGTTTGTTGAAAGTATGATGCTGAGACCGAGAACTTAAAGGATTAGCCATTTATATGGATTCTTGTTGTATGGTGTCATCATTTATGTTAATATATTCTGAAAGAGATCAAGTCTCAGAACTTGAGGATTGACTCATTTTGATGCAAGATAAGACCTGGTGTGAGGGTACTTTTGCTAGATCAAAAGAGGAGGTGAGGAAGGAGAAGGAGATCAGCTATCTATTTGAAGTCTCTCTTGGAGAGATGCTATCTGCTGTTGCTGATCTTGGGCATATCTGAACTGACCAGTGATTGATTTAGTTAGTTATTTTACCATCATAACATTTATGTCATCTGGATTGGTGCAGTTTTACTTTCTAGGTATTTGCACATCCTGCTTATGCATCTTTTTTTTGTCTTCCAAGACTTTCCTTAGATCTCTTTGCCTCCCAGTTCTGAAAACATGGGAAATTACTTCTCTGAAGGAAATCGTCTTTCTGATATCCAACGTCTAAACTGATAGAAGTTGCTCTGCAACTTAAGTTTTTCATCTACTTATTATTTATTAAAGGTTAAATGAAATTGAACAGCAAAATAGTTTTGAACGAACTTTATTTTGAAGACAGGGATTTCATTTCAAAGTTCCAAACTCTGTTTTCTGACTTACTTAGCTTCTGTTAGAAAAAAGTTACTGAGAAAATTCAAGCCTCTTCAGAGGTGGGCATTAGGCAATGTTGCCTTTGCTTCACTTTAAAACAGTAGATGAAGTGTTGGAGAGGAATAAGGGCATTTTGAATTATCTCTGAACTGAGTTGGTGATTAGTATGCTTTAAACTTGCAGTGTTAATTACTTGTTATTGAAGGTTTCTTTAGTGAGCCATATGAAGGTACTGTGAAATGTAGGTGTTTCTCCACAGCCCTTGACTAGAAAGTCAAGAGAGCAGCAAGTGAACAATCTTTTAACTGCTGGACCTGAGATGTAGAAGCAAAAAAAAGCTGACAGTTTTTCCTAAAAAATCTATCTGCAGGTGAAATGCAAGTGGCAAAGGAAACTGTTACTCGGCATATTGGGATGCCTATAATCACAGAAGAAGAAAACTCAGATGAAGAAGGTACAGTGATTGAAATTCTAACAAACCGATGACTTGGTTTTCTACTATGCTGTATTTTTCTGAAACTAAAGCTGATATTTTGGACCATTGTTGCTGCCTTGCAAAAGCTTGGTTAGTTTTTAGCTTGTAAATTGTTGCATGAAAATTGAAGCTTTGCTCTGAGACTTTGTTACAAGCACACACATGGTAGCAAAATCCTGCAAGTCATGTTTTTTCTACATAGATTTCATTATAGTGTGTTCACAGTTAAAATTACAGAATCATAGAATCATTAAGGTTGGAAGATCATCGAGTCCAACTGTCAACCCAACACCACCATGCCCACTAAACCATGTCCCTAAGCGCCTCATCTACACGTCTTTTAAATACTTGCAGGGATGGTGACTCAACCACTTCCCTGGGCAGCCTGTTCCAAGGCCTGACCACTCTTTCAGTAAAGAAGTTTTTCCTAATATACAATTTAAACCTCCCTTGGTGCAACTTGAGGCCATTTCCTCTTGTCCTATCGCTAGTTACTTGGGAGAAGAGACCAACCCCCACCTCACTACAACCTCCTTTCAGGTAGTTGTAGGGCGCGACGAGGTCTCCCTCAGCCTCCTCTTCTCCAGGCTAAACAGCCCCAGTTCCCTCAGCTGCTCCTCATAAGACTTGTTCTCCAGACCCTTTGTTGCTTCGTTGCCCTTCTCTGGACACGCTCCAGCACCTCAGTGTCCTTCTTGTAGTGAGGGGCCCAAAACTGAACACAGTATTTGAGGTGCGGCCTCAGCAGTGCTGAGTACAGGGGCATGATCACTTCCCTAGTCCCGCTGGCCACACTATTTCTGATACAGGCCAGGATGTTGTTGGCCTTCTTGGCCGTGTGGGCACGCTGCTGGCTCATGTTCAGCCGGCTGTCAACCAGACAAAATTGGTCCAGTTTAAAGGAGACTTACTCTTCTATACTACAAATCTGGCTTGAAGAGCGCCAATGTTGTAGGGAAAAATGATTTTTCGGTCATTCTCCCACTTACAGAAGATACCTGTTCTAGTAGCTGTGGGAACTTACGTAACCTGCGCTGGAGGTCAGGATAGCCCTTGCTGCCTTCACCTTTGTGGAAGTGAGGGGACATAGAAGTTTCCCCTATAGCCCTATTTTCAGCTGGGCAATGCTTCAAGGATTAAGTTCCAGTATACATGTACAGTAATAGTGTCCTCTGCTATACTGGAAGTTGTCTGACATAGTTGGGGTAGGATTCTGGGAACTGCAGCAGAAGAGTGGATGATTTTGCTATCACTCATGTTACGGGAAATAATGTAATTTTTATTTGGAAGCAATGGTAAAGCAGGTTTCTTAAAGCTGATGGTGGAGTTGCTCTGTGGAAACATCAAATGCATATAGTACAAATTGATATGTTAGATGATCTTGAACTGGTTTGCAACTCAGAAGCTTCAGGGTCTGTTCTCAGCATTGCTTGAGGAGAATATAAGCACCATGGAACAGACACTGTACAAAGAAAATTGCATCCTCTTTATCTTGAGGTACTGCTTTGCTGCCATGTCTCAAACACGGGTAGCATTCCTGGGAGAGGAGCTGGCCAGCTAAAGGCATGATTTCCACTGGCAGTTCTAGCTAGTCTGATAGATCTTGGTTATGTAGTGGAAGGCAGACTTGATAGACCAGAGGTACTGGTTCTTAACCTGAAAGAGTAGGATTTAATTAGATTGCTTAAAGAGGGAGCAAAGGGTTAAGTACAACTTCTGGAAAGCTTTAATGACATAGATGAGTGTGAGGAGTGTATCTTTTGGAGTTAATTTACTATCCAAAATTGTATGTAATGGAAGGATATTTCATACAAGGGAGCATAATAACTATTAAAATACATTTGTAGTGAGGTAGCACATTTATATTTGCTCTTTTTGAAAGCAAAAGCATCTTGTAATACTGAAATGAGATTATATTCTCTAATGACCTCAGTTGTAGACAATGTGATTTCATTCAATTTTGAATGGTCAGATTGAAGGCACAGTGGTGCATTTAATATTGTACTTTATTTACTTACTTTTCCTTCAAGTTGTTGTGGACAAAAAGTTTCTTTCTAAATCAGGAACATTCTCCATTTCTCATTAAAAATACCCATAAGCAGTCTCTTCAGGTATTTTGTGCTTAATGTTGTGAGTATTCCATTTGTCAAATTCACAATGAAATCTTAAAGGTGTTCATGAGTAGCAGAAAGCTCTCAAGATTGAATAAGTTTTGAAGTACAGTATTTTGTTCATCAATGGAATTTTAATTGATATTTTGAATGATAGCGTGCTGTAGCATCTAGAAAGATTTTTTTCATATTTAAAACCATGGGGAGAGGGATAGGGAGGGGATCTCAAGAGCTCATCTAATTCCTTTCCTTTGCTGGGCAGAATTAATTCTACTTCAGTCATTCCCATGAGGGAAGATAGATTGAAAAGCCTGTCAGAAAAATCTCTTTATTTCCTTTCAGAAGTATCTCTCCCCAAGAGGAAAAGAAGATGTTAGAGGATCCAGTTAGAGAAGCACTGTTAATTTTAATGACAAAATGTAAATGTCAGAGGTAACACAAAGTGCTTGGTTTGGATACCTTTGAACGTACAAGAAGAAGTGTCTGGGACCAGAACTACAGATGACACTGGAATACTGGTAGTGACTGGTATACCTTAGCTGTCTCATGGTACAGCACCTGGTGAATGCTTCTTGTGGGAGACAAAGTTGCTGTGCCCTGTTTGAGATGGAAAGAGAAGATGGTTGCTTGTTATATTTAGTTTGTACAATGTGAGTTATCACTTAGAACTCATGTTGATCTGCAAGGATGTTTTTGGCTGAGACTGTTAAAAGAACAGCTCACAAAATATTTGCCTGTATGAGATGTTTGGAATCATTTATCTCTGAACATAAAATTAAGGTTCCTGACTGTTTAAAATTAGTACAATAAATTATTTTTCATAGTTCACTTGCTCCATTTTCTAGTGTGCAATTTCAGCAATGTTTATCGTGGTTTGATCCCACAGATGTGGGAAATGAACTTGGTGATAAGCCTTTTATTGGACTCTGTCTCCAGCAGATCTGGTTATCATTGGATATTTGAATGAAGAAATATAATGTGCATTTATTAATTCTGCAGATGACCCTAAGCTGTACAAGGACAGGACTAAAATTCAAGATGATTGTTATAAATTGGAGAGGTGATGTGGAAGAAGTGGGTGTGGAAATAAATGTGAAGCTCAGCACTGAGTACAGGTACAGAATGGGGAAATGATTGCTAGGCAACAGTACTGCAGGAAAAGCAAACAGACTGAGAATCATAAGCTGGAGTATTTTGTGTAAACAATAACGAGCACTAGAATTGGTGTCATCATTCAGCCTGTAAAGCTATAGCCTTAAATACCCCCTTCTGACCACTACAATTGAAGAATGTGGATAGTTATTCTCCATTGTATTTTCTCCAGCTGATCATAGCTGTACTATCAAGAAAGGCCAAAGGAGCTGAGACATTCTCTCCTACAAGAAGAAATATGAAATAGAAATTTGAAAGATTTTGAATATAAAAGGGGCCTAAACTGAGTGAATTTGGTAGTATGACTCTCTAAGGCCAAAGGAATTGAAGTGCCCTTGCCTAGAAGAAGAAACACTAAGTGGAAATAGAAATTATTTGAGTATAAAATGGGCCTGTATTAAATGCATTAGATGGTAAGAAGGAATGGGCCTAAATGACAAACAAGTTGGACACTGGAAAAACTAGTAAGCACCAGTGTTGCACTCAAAACCTTGTTAATGGGAAAAGAGGAAATGCTATAATAAAGCCCAAACCTTCCTGTGTAGTAAACTGAACAATTGAATATTCTGTTACCAGCATAAACTCACTCTGCCTCTATGCATTTCTGCTCCTAATTTTTGATGAGCAGATACAAGAGACAAAGAGACCTCTTAAGGAAAACTTAACCAGGCTTTTTTGGTCAAAATTGTCTGCTCATCTTAATGCAGTTAGAATCCTGTTGGTAATACTGCATTTGTCAGTTTTGTCAACTCCAGCTGCTGCTTTGGCTGTGGTTATGCAGGCTGACGGAAAAGCTTTCTGGTATCCTCACATTGCAGGGGATGGATAGGAGTATAGGTGTAATAGGGTAGCAATTTGTAGATGAGGTACAGTTGGAGTACTTGAATCTCTTCTTGGGAAACCCCTGGATGGCTAAGAAAGAGACAGATGAAGAGGGAGAGTTCTTTCTAGCAAATACTGAGAATACAGCTTTGAATCCATCATTTCTTATGAGTTTCTTCACTTAGGAAGTTTCTTAAGGATGAACTTTACAGCATCAATCCTCTTCTGCTGTTTCTAGGCACCAAGGTTAAGCTAGGTCTTCCAGCTACATGGTATTGGGTCCTTCTCTTGAAGGAAACTTGAAAGAGATTTCTCTTTTTCTATTTCCTTCTGGCTTGCAGGTATCTTTCTCAAGGAAGCTAAAGATTAAACACAGCTACAAATGGTTATTTTTCGCTGTCTTGACAGGCTGTTTTCAGCTAAATTATTATGATTCCATATATATGGAATAAGTTTATTATAACATATTTAAGGAATATGTTTAATATTGTTCCCTGCAGTGGCACTTTTTCATAATGTGACCATCTTGTTTGCCTCTCCTTGTATCTTGTTTGCCTCTCCTTGTATCTTTGAACCATCCCAAGAGCTGAATAGGAGAATTTTTCGGAATTTTCAATATTCAGTGGCATGAGTCTTCCTGCACACACTTCTGAAAATGATTTGCAAATCAACATCAGAAGCATGCAAAGGTTTGACTAGGCACAAAGATGGGTGTATTCAACTATCAGTTATTTTAATATTTTAATTATGAAAACAAGTGTTCTTTAATTTGTTTATAAAATTACATAGTTGTAAAATGAAAGTTATGCTTAAGGATGAACTTAGAACTGCTGACTATATGCAGTGGTAATATTTCAAAGCAGTAATCTAGAGAATTTAGAGGCAGCTGTAAGCAAAGTTTCATAATGCTCGTGTAATCTCTTTTAAAAAAAAAAAAAAATCCCTTGCTGTAGTCTGATGGGCAATTACAGGCTTTTAAAAACAGGAGAGGGACTTCCTAAAATGCTTCATTGAAGCAAGCAGCTGTCATTAAAAAAACCCCAACCTACCCTGCCCCTCCCCCCCGCCAACAACAGTAAATCTAGACTTCAAGAATATTGTTTTCCAGTATCTAACTTCTCTCCCGGTTATAGCCTCCGCTAATACAGTAGTCAAAGGCTGCAAGGAAACTTCATCTCTGTTACACCGGTCTAACTTCCAACTGACCTGGTGGATAGGGCTGACGCGACATGACAGTATGTATCTGGATGTTGTTAAAGTTTTCATAAATAAATTGGAGAACTATGGTTTGGCTGAAACTTAGCTCTAAGATGGATATACAACTGACTGAAGAACTACATTCATACAATAATAATCACCATTTCTTTGGCAAAGCTAAACGATCCTCAAAGTGGAAGTTTGAACTAGTGCTATGCAATGTTTACAAGTATAATGTGGGTGATGAAAAGCAGAATAAACTTAAAACACTTACAGGTGACATCAGTTTAGAAACTGTTTAAGTGGAAGAGATTTTTCCAATATAATTTTTATTCTTATAATGGGAGAAATCAACAAGGTCTAATTAAGTAAAGGGAGGTGCAAAAGGCTGCCCTTGTAAGGACAGATTAAATGCAAATAACCAGCTCGGGAATGCTGTGTAAGCAGCTGTTCTCAATCTGGAGGTTTTTGCAGCCCTTACACCAGAGATGGATCAGGAATATGGGGGTGATGTGAAAAGTTCCAAATGCCACGGATGGCAGTGGTGATATGTGTTGTGTACAGTTTGGGGGGTATGTAGACATCACCTCTAGAATAATTAAAGAATCCTAAAAAAAGAAAAGGGCAATAAAAAGAAAATAGACTGCAGGAGAGTTTAGTCTGGAAAAGAAAGGGTTTGACAGTGAACGGTCTTTACAGCTTTGTAATGTGTTTATGCAAATGATGATTAATTGTTCTCCATGTTGATTGAGGCAGAGCTATACAATTTACAGCAACATGAATTTATTTAATAAGAGATTTTTGCAGTTAGATAAACAGTTTGGCCTTATAACAAACAGCAGAGTCACTTTTACTGTGGGAGTTCAAAACAACGTTGCGAAAACATTAGTCATGGTTGTCGTGAGGTAGACCTAATCCTGCTTTGGAGACAGGAGATGGACTAGAGGATACTTTGAGATTCCTTCTAGTCCTATACTTAAGTGTTTAACATGACAGGACCCTATGCAGAGAGTTTTTATTTTCTCACCACATATGCATAGCAAGTTCTTGAAATGACACAGATATTTTATCCCTTCTTTTCTGGAATGTTTCGTTTTCAAGTTCATTATACTTCTGGAGTTGCTTTTACAAAGCTTGCTGTGCGGACCTGGCTTCCTCACCCCATTTTCATCTTTTGTCCTCAAATCTGGGCACCCGATTAAGCCTGGTAATGGAATGCTTCCCTCCTCCATCTGTATGCAACCCAACACTTGGAAATGGGACTGCAAGGACTCATGAGCTACAAGGGGTTGAGAAATGTGCTAAAACTCTGTCTTGCTCCTAGCACTTCAGGACTTGGGTCAGTCTTCTCTATGCTGCGCCATAGTTTGGTTGCAATAGAAACATGCAAAGCAAAACTATCTTGAAACAGCTTGAGCTTTCTGTAACAGACACCAAACTGCTTCCTCTTTAGTCATAGAAATGTAACCCCTGGATATGGAAAATAATGGAGAACATAAGGGCCAGCCATCAGCTATTAAAGGTTATCAGAGATGGGGAGCAACTTGTTTCTTTAGAAGTGAGTTTTGTATGTGTGATGAAAAGTGAGGTAGCATTTAAATCTTAGAGACAGGCTCAGTGCAACCTGCTGTGTCTCCAGATTAGTTTTTGACACAGGGCTGCGTGTTGACAACGTCCATCCGAGTGAGGGTGGAGTTGGCTGTCGTATTTTATGGATGCTATTAACAGGTCAATACAGTCCTGAGGACTCGTGAAAAGAGATGGCACAAGATTTTGGAAGACGGGGTGAAGCTGCATACCCTCCCAAGCTGGATGTGTCTGCGGAATGTCACGGCGTCCCGCCCGTGCTGTGCACAGCCCCCGCTGACGCGCCCGGGGCCGCGGAGCGATGCGGTGCAGCCGGGGTGTGCCGCCCTTCACGCCTTCCCCCCGCCTG